GGGGGGGGGGGGGGGGGGGGGGGGGGGGGGGGGGGAACGTAGAGGGAGCGTAAGGATGGTGGATGACACGTTGACTTTCCTGCCGGTAGCACGGGGAAGACTCGGGAGAGTCGTACGAATCGCAGATATGGCTTCGCGCGAGAACCTCACATTCGGCATGCATTTGGCCGCCTTCTGAACCGGATGCATTCAAAACATTGGACTCATCCGAATGCACCTGGGCCACAAAGCCTCCAAATGCATGTAGACTGATGACGTAGTGGAGCGAGGTCCATAATAGTCAATTTTTTTAGTTGACTATGTCCGACTTGCCTTGCTTTGAATCGATAGTCTTACATGCAACGTACTAAAAAAAATTGTTGTCGTACACGACGTACAGTACGATGCCATCGTTCGCTGTAGGATGGGCCTCGCTCCTCTACTCACCAAATGTCCAAAATGAGAATGAACAAGAAAAAAATAAATAAAAAATAAAAAGAGAATGAATCTTCCGTTAGATCCTGGGAAGATATACCGCCACTATGATCATAATTAATTTGTCTTTTATGCATGTTGCCAGTAGTGGAGCGAGATCCGATGTCAGCCTTCCAACGCTGAGAAATTGTGAGAATGAATCTTCCGCTAGAACAATGGAAGATTCACCGCCATATTTTTTGTCTTTTGTGCTTTTGAACACCACCGTGTCCTGGCTGTGGTGGCTACGGTACTTGGCTCTTGAGGCCGAGGTAGGAGGGCTGAAGCCCAGAGGTACTGATCGGTACTTGGCTCTTGACGCCGAGGTAGCCGGTTGCAGTCCGTGCTTGCACGTAGGAGGGGTGAAGCCCAGAGGTACCGATCGGTACTGGACCTACCTGTCCGATGACACAGTACAGTAGTAGATCGAGGCCCGATGTCAGCCTTTCAACGCTACAACTCCAATGCACGATGGCTCTCGTCACGTGCTCCCAACAACATTCAAGCTGAGCGCGATTCTCACATCACATGGTAAGGCTATTATTAGTACAAGTCTAACGCAAGTCGCTGAGGCGCACATACTAGTCTATTTTTAGTATACAAGTTGAACGCGAGTCGCCCATGGTAGTCTAATTTTAGTACTTCAGCATTGAAGACACGTCGGACATATTAGTCTATTTTTAGTACGTAACATGCAGTCTATCAGATAGTAGTTTTTTTTTTTTTAGTACGTAGCATGAAGCTGATCAATTCAAGGCAGGTCGTAGTACAATAGCATGTGCAGGCTAACAATTCAAGGCACCAGGTGCAAAATCTATTTTTAGTACATATTTGCATGTCGGCTATCATATTTTTAGTACGTCGCATGCAGTCTATCAATTAGTAGGTTTTTTTTTTAAGCACGTAGCATGGAGTTGATCAATTCAAGGCAGGTCGTAGATAGACTAGTAAGACTATTTTATAGTACAATATTGCATGTGTAGGCTAGCAATGCAAGACACTGGGTGCAAAATCTACGTAACAGTTTAGTACGTAGCATGTGGGCTACCATAGTCTATTTTTAGTACGTAGCATGCATGCAGTCTATCAATTAGCAGTTTGTTTTTTTTAGTACGTAGCATGAAGTCGATCAATTCAAGGCAGGTAGTTGATAGACTAGTAAGTCTATGTTCTTAGTACAAAACTGTACAATATTGCATGTGTAGGCTAGCAATTCAAGGCACGGGGTACAAAATCTATTTTTAGTACATAGCATGCCGGCTATCAACCAAGGTCGTACTTAGGGCCTCACTCCTCTAGTCACCAAATGTGCAACATGAGAGTGAATCTTTCGCTAGAACATGGAAAGATACACCGAATTTTTTTTTGTCTTTGTGCATCTCGACGGGAGTCGTGGAGCCAGGCCCCTCGTCTATTTTTAGCACGTCGCGTGTTGGTGTGTCAATTCAAGGCACGTCGTACCGACTCCTACGTGACCTATTTTTAGCAC